GTCTGTAAAAGAAACACACCTGAAAGACAACCTACAGGTAGCAGAACGCAATCACTTCTTATCCTAACTTTCTTATTTGATGAAGGAAAAATTGGGACAAAGTTTTACCCGAGAGAGAATCCTAACTTCATTTCATGTTGACAGATAATTTTTCATTCACTCTTAATTTATTTAAAATCATTTAAAAACATATACATAAGTACGAAGGCTTTTACGGCCGGTGTTAATAAAATGTTTGACGTGTCGGATGTCATATTGCAACCTTCTTCAGAAAACAAGTTTGAAGCGAACCCGAAAGTTTCTAGTTCTAGGTCTAGTGTTAGTTCTAGTGATAGTGCTAGTGTTAGTTCTAGTTTTAGTTTTACGTTTAGAAACATGTTAAACTGTTCAAAACGGAAAGATTATTTCATGTTACACCTATATTATCAGAATCTGAAATTGTGTTTTGATGGTTTTGAATCTGGTAACGTTACCAACCTTTGCACTTTAAGTTATTTAGTTTATCAATTTAAAAAACGCGTATGCTAATGCGTAAGCGAAGTGCGTCGCACACCCTTGGAAAGAGCAGAAAATTTCCCATAAGATGAATATAGTTCTAGAGTTTTCTCCCCTTCATATAAGAGAGTTATTGACCCAAGCGTGGCTTACCCGCGGCAAAAATTCGAGGTTTAGGTAGTTCATAGTCAGAAAAAAGGATTGTGTAAACGTGTGATCACGGTGTTTCACACATCGTTGGAAAGAGCAGGAAATTTCCCATAAGCTGAATATAGTTGTAGAGTTTTCTCCCTGTCAAATAGGAAAGTTATTAGTGCAAGAAATATTTGCGTGTTTTCATCGGTAGGGGCTTTTTCAGGTGCGTTTTGCTTACAGACGCTGATAGATATTGGCGAACGAAAACTCGGAATAAGATAGTCCAAAGTCAGCTCTTTCCGAATATGTAGGCCATTTATTGAATTTCCATCTGGTAACGGCTTCACAAGGACGTGAAGTTTGGAAATTCTGAGGTAAATTGAATGCAGCGCGACGTTTCTTATTTTTTCTTGCTCTTATTATCAACATATCGGATATATATATTATGATAGAGAAAAGTCCAAGCTTTCCAACCGTGTGGTTAGTTTTTCGCTATCTTTCTAGATAACAAAGATATGGGCCCTAGAAGTAGGTGGAAATATAAACGAAAAAGTTTGTTGAGAATTTATATATTTTTTTTTAATTACCGTTACATTTATTAAATAAATTCCGATCGGTTTATTTAAATAAAATTGGGTCAATAACCTGTGAACATAAAATATGTAAAATGTAAAATATTCGCATAAAATAATTTGTATATGGACTTATTCATCAAAATCTGCGTGATTATTTTATGAAATAAAAGCTTTAAAAGAGAATTAAGCGAAACAAAGTAACAAAAGCTTTTGTCTGCAAAGTACTTAAAACATTTAAAAATGTAACTTTTAAATATGCATTCTTATAAGTTTATAAATATTCGTATTTTTAATTTTCGAAACATCAATTTCGTTCTGCTGCTATTTTATTAAATAGATTTAATCCGAAAAAAGTCTAATTTTAAAATATTGTTGTAAATTAGGGAAAAAGTAAACGAACCCTAGTTTAAATGGGCGGAGGCACAGACCCATTAATAATTTCAATTAAAACGTCAGTTTATGCGAAAGTGGTCATATTTCATGCAGCTACCTGTTGGCCTTTTTGCCTTACTACGTAAACAATGTACGTTACTCGACTACCGCATTCTAATATTGCAACTCCACAAGTTTGCTTTAATAACTACCAGTAATTTTAATTGCCAATCGAAAACACTAACCGTTCTAGCGTGACAACTTAAAAGGGTGATATTGATTGAATCCTAAAAGGAATTGAAATTAAAAAAATCTGTGGGGCATGAAAGGGTGGATAAGCTGGGTTCTACGTATTACCACCAAGTTAAATATGTTGAGAGAATCTCTCTGACCGATAGAACGGGGATAAGCCCTTGAAACTGGCCTCTGTAAACAGGAAGTTAAAAGACCTTGACAATTATTTGATGAAACGTTCCTCACGAATTGACTGCAAATTTACATAAGCAAATATCTCGACGAGAAATGATCAAAAGTTTTCATTATAATAAAATAGGAATAAAACTAGTAGAAGCATGAACACGCTAATTGCGAAAGAATTTTTTTTGTGTAATTATAGCAAAAAAGAAAGCTTAATTCTTAAATTACCACCCTCACTTAGAGATTCCACAGAAACTATTTTAAAAATAATAACGAAGAAGTAAGAAGTAATACTTTTTTAAATTTATTTTGTACATCATGTACAGGGTGGTTCAAATTCGATGTCCGAATAGGCTAACTCGAAAACTATAAGAGTTAGAAAAAAAGTAGCTTACATGTCATGATCTCGTTTTTCGAGAAACTGTTAATGCCGAAAACCTCATAGCGCTATCGTCTTTTGTTTTTCCCCTAGAGGCCAAAATTGGAAATATCGTAAAACCAGCAAGTGCAATTATCTTCGTTATTATTATAGGTGGAGTATTATAACTAAGACATTATATGGACACTTTTTTATAGAGAATTGGATGACGTAGTCAAAAAAATTTTTTCGGTTTTAGATTTTGAGATATTATCACAATTTTCGTTTTTTTAAATGGAAACAACCACTGATTATTCGCTTATTAAATTCGTTATTTTTTTCTGATTACAAAAATATAGGGTTCGACAGGTCTATTTCTTATTGTTTTAGAATAAAGCTAAAAATAAACTTTTTTTATAAAATTTCCATCTAGTGTCGTCGAGGAAATTAAATTTACAGTTTCCTGTAAGTTACGGGGCGGTAGGTAAAATCTAAAAAGTTAACAATTAAATACGAAGATAACTTCTGGTATTTAAAAACAAATAATTTTTTAATATGTAACATTCTAACATGTCAAACTTTTCAAAATTTTCGTAATTGATCTTAAAAACAGGATTTTTAAAGTGACACTTCAGAAAATTTTTGAATACAAACAAATGTTGCTATGTTTATTTGAATTAAAAAAAAAACATATGAGCGCCATCTATCGATAATTTATTAAGTCATTTAAAAATAATATTAAATCGTAATAAAAAATGTGAAATAATGCAATCTATTCCAACTTTTGTGTAAAACATATATAAATTAAACAGTTCAACAAATATATTTGTTTCAAATATCAGAAATATGTTTTTTTAATTTTTAGTTATAGAACCGTAATTTACAGGAAACTGTAAATTTAATTTCTTCGACGACACTAAGAGAAAAGTTTATTTTTAGTTTTATTCTAAAACAATAAGAAATAAACCTGTCAAACCCTATATTTTTGTAATCAGAAAAAAATAACGAATTTATTAAGCGAATAATCAGTGGTTGTTTCCATTTAAAAAAACCAAAATTGTGATAATATCTCAAAATCTAAAACCGACAATTCATCAAATTCTCTGTAAAAAAGTGTCCATATAATGTCTTAGTTATAATACTCCACCTATAATAATAACCAAGATAATTATATTTACGGGTTTTACGATATTTTCAATTTCGGCCTCTAGCGGAAATACAAAAGACGATAGCGCTATGAGGTTTTCGGCATTAGCAGTTTCTCGAAAAACGAGATCATGACATCTCAGCTACTTTTCTTCTAACTCTTATAGTTTTCGAGTTAGCCTATTCAGACATCGAATTTGAACCACCCTGTATATTGATGTTCTTTCAGATAAAATTTCATGTCAGAAAAAAGATATAGATGTAAAAAAAACTACACAAAACGCTGCATATCCAGAAATTAAGTTATGATCAATCCTTATAGACCGCCTTTTATGATCTTTACTGCTAGAAAAGATTAGTCAAAAGACTCATAAAGTGTTATTAATAAAAATCATATTTACAGCTTAGCATTAATATGAATAGCCAAAACGCCATCATCTTCATTTTCTTCCAAACTAATATAACCGATACCTCCATCTCCAACATTAACGATTTTACCAGTACATTTCCCATTAACAAGTTCTCCGCTAATAACATCGCAATATATTCCCGCCGGAAGACAAGTTTGCATATCTTGATTGATATTTCCACCATTTGTAAAGGCAACAAAACCTTTTCCACCTCTACAAAAAGCAATTTGTTGGGCTCCGTTACTCCACCAGTCGTTTAATTCGGTTCCTTTTACGGCGATTCTAAATCCAACCATGTTATAAATTTGTCTCCATCTGTGTTCGCAAACCCATCCGTTGGTGCAAGTGTTGTCGGAGTTAATTCCTGGTGAGATTATGTTTCCGTTTTCATCAGCTGGTGGTCCAGCATCGGTGTCATCAAAAGCAAAGCTGGACATAACTCTTGTTGTTCCAAACGGATGGGCTAACATAAACGCGATTGCCATTTTATATTGTTTCGGTACTTTGTAAGTTAAAATGTCTGCTCCTCTAGCACCGTGCCCTCTTTGGTTATCATGGTTATCGACGAAAATAAAGGCGACATCGCTAGGAAGAAATCCCCAACCGATTCCCCAGTTAATCAAAGAACTTAACTGCTTATTCCCTCTGAAAACACTTCCAATTTCAGCAGAATGCTTAAATTCAGTTACAGCACCAATATGTATGTATTCATTGGCAGAGATAGCTTCACCACCTAAATCGATAACTTCTTGATAAACATACGGTCTTGTTTCGGAAGGAAAATCATAATCAATATTTAAATTATTAACCCTTCCCAATATTACTTCTATATCTTTAGGCCACATATGTTTAGCAGCATCGATTCTAAATCCAGCAACTCCCAAATTTACGAGTTTATTCAAAAAATCAACCATTTTTCCTCTTACGTATTCATTTCCTTGATTCAAATCTTTCAATTCGACCAATTCGCAATTTCTGACATTTTCAGCGTTTTTGTAATCTGTTATGGCACAATCAGAATTAAAATGGGTTGAATCATATGGAACAGCAGGGTAACTTTTTGTTGATGAATCTGCACCATTTCCAGCAGTTCCTGTTACATGATCCCAATTTCCTGTCATGTGATTCAAAACAACATCAACATAAATTCTAAAAAGAACACAATTAAACTAAAAATAAAACCAAAACTTGATTTATTACCTAACTCCAACTGCGTTACATCTTTTTGTCATATCTGCAAATTCAGATTCTCCACCAGATCTTGTACCAAAATTGTAACTGATGGGTTAACTACGTTCCCACCATGGTCTATTATTAATTATGGCATTTTCGCTTACAGGAGATAACTAAAAAATGAAATAAAGAATGACGAAGATTTTATTTATTTTTTATCATCATTTCTTTATTTTTACCTGCACACCTCCGTAACCTTTATGTTGCAAAAATCGCTCACATTCATCTGCAACGTCTAAAAACTTCCACTCAAACAGATGCACAATCGTATCCCGATTATCCCACATGTTCGTATTGAATTGGCATTGTGCCAATGTGGCAATTGCGAAAATTACAATAAATAAGCGTAACATCACTACATCGATAAGTTTTGTTGAAAATTATGTTCAAAATTTCCACATAACTATTCTCCTTTTACACCTTTCCTCAGCTACCTTCAGTGATATCAAATAAAATCAAGTTACGGATAATCACTACTTCAGCTTGATAGAAATATGATGAATAAAATTTTATTAAATGCGAATTTCGTGGAAAACGTGAACTCTGACGATACTAACAGAAACAAGTACTAAACATTATTAAAAATTAATGATGTATTTTAAATAGAATGCGAGTAATTATGTATTTTCTTTTAATACAATAATAATACATAATTAGTTTAACTTTGCATTCTATAACTATATTATTATACCTTGTGGTTCCATTATTTCGATAAGGTTTTACACTGCGTGAGTAAAGCTCTATTAGAAAATATACCCTTCAATAGCTAAAAGCTTTCTAATGCTGCTGTGTCTACTAAAAAATAATTTACAGTCTATAACAAGGTTTAAATTAATATGATTAGTATGATTTTTTCAATTTCACGCTTTTTTGATATAACTTCGATAATTTTTGAACATGCATTACTGTACATAAAGAACGATAACAAAGAGAATTATGAAAACTAATAAATAATTTTAGGCACACTAAAACTAGATTAAATTTGCTTTAAATTCCATTTTATCTCATTACAATATCTTAATCGGTTCTTGAGATATGATTTTTAAAATTTTTCGTTTTTTCGATACAATCTCGATAATTTTCGAATATGCATCATTGTACATAAAGAACGATAACAAAGAGAATTATGAAAACTAAGAAATAATTTTAGGCACACTAAAACTAGATTAAATTTGCTTTAAATTCCATTTTATCTCATTACAATATCTTAATCGGTTCTTGAGATATGATTTTTAAAATTTTTCGTTTTTTCGATACAATCTCGATAATTTTCGAATATGCACCATTGTACATAAAAAACGATAACAAAGAGATTTATGAAAACTAAGAAATAATTTTAGGCACACTAAAACTAGATTAAATTTGCTTTAAGATCCATTTTATCTCATTACAATATCTTAATCGGTTCTTAAGATATGATTTTTAAAATTTTTTGCTTTTTCGATACAATCTCGATAATTTTCGAATATGCATCATTGTACATAAAGAACGATAACAAAGAGATTTGTAGAAACTAAGAAATAATTTTAGGCACACTAAAACTAGATTAAATTTGCTTTAAGATCCATCTTGTCTCATTGCAATATCTCAATCGGTTCTTGAGATACGATTTTTTAAATTTCTTACTTTGTCGATGTATTGGTCTTGTAATATAATAAGTATATACAAATTTTCTGCTATAAGAGTAATAAAATGAAATTCCTTTAATTCTTCATAAATCAAAATCGTCTTTATTAATCAAATTTACAATTTAGCATTAACATGAATAGCCAGAACGCCATCATCTTCATTTTCTTCCAAACTAACGTAACCCATACCTCCATCTCCAACATTAACGGTTTTGCCAGTACATTGACCATCAACAAGTCCTCCGCTAATAACATCACAATAAGTTCCCGCAGGAAGACAAGTTTGCATATCTTGATTGATACTTCCACCATTTGTGAAGGCAACAAAACCTTTTCCACCTCTACAAAAAGCAATTTGTTGGGCTCCGTTACTCCACCAGTCGTTTAATTCGGTTCCTTTTACGGCATTTCTAAATCCAACCATGTTATAAATTTGTCTCCATCTGTGTTCGCAAACCCATCCGTTGGAGCAAGTGTCGTCGTAGTTAATTCCTGGTGAGATTATGTTTCCGTTGCCATCAGCTGGTGGTCCAGCATCGGTGTCATCAAAAGCAAAGCTGGACATAACTCTTGTTGTTCCAAACGGATGGGCTAACATAAATGCAATTGCCATTTTATATTGTTTCGAATCTTTGTAAGTTAAAATGTCTGCTCCTCCAGCACCGTGCCCCCTTTGGTTATCATGGTTATCGACGAAAATAAAGGCAACATCGCTGGGAAGGAATCCCCATCCGGTTCCCCAGTTATTCAAATAAGTTAATTGGTCTTTTCCTCTAAAAACTCTTCCAATTTCAGCAGAATGTTTAAATTCAGTTACAGCACCGATATGTGTATATTCTTTGGCAGAGATACCTTCACCACCTAAATCGATAACTTCTTGATAAACATACGGTCTAGCTCCGGAAGGAAAACCATAATCGGTATTTAAATTATTAACCCTTCCTAGTATAACTTCTAAATCTCCTGGCCACATATGTTTAGCAGCATCAATTCTAAATCCAGCAACTCCCAAATTTACGAGTTTATTTAAGAAATCTACCATTTTCCCTCTAACGTATTCACTTCCTTGATGAAGATCCCTTAAACCAACCAATTCGCAATTTCTTACATTTTCGGCATTATTATAATCCGTTATGGCACAATCAGAATTAAAATCGGGGGCACTATATGGTACAGCAGGGTAACTTTTTATAGCTGAATCTGCGGTACTTCCAGCCGTTCCTGTTATTTGACCCCAATTTCCGGTCATATGATTCAAAATTACATCAACGTAAATTCTGAAAATAAAACAATCAAAAAAAATCTTTGATGAAATTGATTTCTTACCTAACTCCAACTGCGTTGCATCTCTTTGTCATATCTGCAAATTCAGATTCCCCACCAGATCTTGTACCAAAATTGTAACTGATGGGTTGATAACGTTCCCACCATGGTCTTTTGTCAACTATGGCGTTTTCACTTACAGGAGATAACTAAAAAATTAAATACAATTTAATTAAAGAAGAATTAAATACTATTAGTATTGCAAATTCTAATTATTCGGATTATTAACTTTAATTAAAACGACTTAGCATAAACCTTTATAAATCAAAATATATATTTACTAATTATTGTTATATTTATACCTGTACACCACCGTAACCTTTATGTTGCAAAAACCGTTCGCATTCATCTGCAACATCCGAAAATTTCCATTCAAATAGATGCACCATCGTATCTCGATTATCCCACATATTCGTATTGAATTGGCATTGTGCCAATGTAGCAAGGGCGCAAACTACAATAAGTAATCGTAACATCACTGCATTTACAAAACTTTTTCAAGAATGTGGAAATGTTCTCTACAATACTCGTTTTATACCATCCATGTTCTATTTTCAATGATATCGGTTTTATATTAGAGATTTATCAGTTAAGTGGCCGGTAAAACTCAAAAGAAAATCGGTTTCGGATGATGGCCACTCCAAGTTGATAGAAAATTTAATTAAAAGCAAATTTTGACGAAGACATGAACACTGATGGTTATTAACCGTGCCATGTAGTGTTAAATTTTTAAAAATTATGCGTTTTAAGTAATTAGTTGTTTTTTTTTAGTATTTTTTAAATAGTTTATTTTTGTTATTCATAAACACATTATAGTTACATTGTTATTGCACCACATCGATAAAGGTTTTGAGAGGTAATTGAACATTTTTAATTTTATTTTTAAGTGACGCATCATTATGTAATTAATTTTTATTTATAAAATAAACTTATTAACCCTTTGTGTCCCAAGAAGTCAAACATTTTGAAACTTTGTGACAGAATTAAAACGCTATCAAAATGCACTCAGTAAAGGCCTTTGGAATAAAATTTTAGCAAAATATGCAATCCCCCTATTTTCGCATAATCTAAGTGTCAAAAAAGATGCTAATTCAAAAATTCCTGGAAAGCGTGTTTATTGAAATTAAGAAATAAAACTTATTTATAATTGAAGCTTAAAGCTTTCTGTTTAAATTGATGTATAACAATCGATAGGTTGAATTAGAAAAATATTGAGAAAAAGAGTGTTAACTAACATTTTCGAATAACCTAAAAGTGTCAAAAAAGATGCTAATTTAAAAATTCCTGGAAGCCGTATTTATTGAAATTAAAGAATGAGACTTATTCTAAATTAAAGCTCAAAGCTTTCTTTTTAAAATGATGTATAATAATTGTTGGGTTGGATTGGAAAAATATTGACAAAAAACATGTTGAAACAAAACTTACATTTTCGTATAACCTAAGAGTGCCAAAAAAGATGCTAATTTAAAAATTCCTGGAAGCCGTATTTATTGAAATTAAGGAATGAGACTTATTCTAAATTAAAGCTCAAAGCTTTCTCTTTAAAATGATGTATAATAATTGTTGGGTTGGATTGGAAAAATATTGAGAAAAAAAATGTTGAAACAAAACTTACATTTTCGTATAACCTAAAAGTGTCAAAAAAGATGCTAATTTAAAAATTCCTGGAAGCCGTATTTATTGAAATTAAGGAATGAGACTTATTCTAAATTAAAGCTCAAAGCTTTCTCTTTAAAATGATGTATAATAATTGTTGGGTTGGATTGGAAAAATATTGAGAAAAAAAATGTTGAAACAAAACTTACATTTTCGTATAACCTAAAAGTGTCAAAAAAGATGCTAATTTAAAAATTCCTGGAAGCCGTATTTATTGAAATTAAGGAATGAGACTTATTCTAAATTAAAGCTCAAAGCTTTCTCTTTAAAATGATGTATAATAATTGTTGGGTTGGATTGGAAAAATATTGAGAAAAAAAATGTTGAAACAAAACTTACATTTTCGTATAACCTAAAAGTGTCAAAAAAGATGCTAATTTAAAAATTCCTGGAAGCCGTATTTATTGAAATTAAGGAATGAGACTTATTCTAAATTAAAGCTCAAAGCTTTCTCTTTAAAATGATGTATAATAATTGTTGGGTTGGATTGGAAAAATATTGAGAAAAAAAATGTTGAAACAAAACTTACATTTTCGTATAACCTAAAAGTGTCAAAAAAGATGCTAATTTAAAAATTCCTGGAAGCCGTATTTATTGAAATTAAGGAATGAGACTTATTCTAAATTAAAGCTCAAAGCTTTCTCTTTAAAATGATGTATAATAATTGTTGGGTTGGATTGGAAAAATATTGAGAAAAAAAATGTTGAAACAAAACTTACATTTTCGTATAACCTAAAAGTGTCAAAAAAGATGCTAATTTAAAAATTCCTGGAAGCCGTATTTATTGAAATTAAGGAATGAGACTTATTCTAAATTAAAGCTCAAAGCTTTCTCTTTAAAATGATGTATAATAATTGTTGGGTTGGATTGGAAAAATATTGAGAAAAAAAATGTTGAAACAAAACTTACATTTTCGTATAACCTAAAAGTGTCAAAAAAGATGCTAATTTAAAAATTCCTGGAAGCCGTATTTATTGAAATTAAGGAATGAGACTTATTCTAAATTAAAGCTCAAAGCTTTCTCTTTAAAATGATGTATAATAATTGTTGGGTTGGATTGGAAAAATATTGAGAAAAAAAATGTTGAAACAAAACTTACATTTTCGTATAACCTAAAAGTGTCAAAAAAGATGCTAATTTAAAAATTCCTGGAAGCCGTATTTATTGAAATTAAGGAATGAGACTTATTCTAAATTAAAGCTCAAAGCTTTCTCTTTAAAATGATGTATAATAATTGTTGGGTTGGATTGGAAAAATATTGAGAAAAAAAATGTTGAAACAAAACTTACATTTTCGTATAACCTAAAAGTGTCAAAAAAGATGCTAATTTAAAAATTCCTGGAAGCCGTATTTATTGAAATTAAGGAATGAGACTTATTCTAAATTAAAGCTCAAAGCTTTCTCTTTAAAATGATGTATAATAATTGTTGGGTTGGATTGGAAAAATATTGAGAAAAAAAATGTTGAAACAAAACTTACATTTTCGTATAACCTAAAAGTGTCAAAAAAGATGCTAATTTAAAAATTCCTGGAAGCCGTATTTATTGAAATTAAGGAATGAGACTTATTCTAAATTAAAGCTCAAAGCTTTCTCTTTAAAATGATGTATAATAATTGTTGGGTTGGATTGGAAAAATATTGAGAAAAAAAATGTTGAAACAAAACTTACATTTTCGTATAACCTAAAAGTGTCAAAAAAGATGCTAATTTAAAAATTCCTGGAAGCCGTATTTATTGAAATTAAGGAATGAAACTTATTTTAAATTAAAGCTCAAAGTTTTCTCTTTAAAATGATGTATAATAATTGTTGGGTTGGATTGGAAAAATATTAAGAAAAAAAATGATGAAACAACACTTACATTTAAAAGGGTCAAAAAAGATGCTAATTTAAAAATTCTTGGAAGCCATGTTTATTGAAATTAAGGAATAAGACTTATTTTAAATTTAAGCTAAGAAAAATCTAAGAAATACCTTTTTGAACAACAAAATTCAACAGCACCACTTTTCACTAAACTTCTAACCTCACATCTGGATGAATAAGTTTAAAGTGTACCTAAAAATCCTACAGTGCGGATTGCGACTTTTTTATACAGATTCTTTCTTGTATAGTAGAAAGTACCGACAGCTCTAAATGCGCCGAATAGATAACTACAGTTTAAAATGAGTGTTAAAAAATTACCGGTACTTTAAAGTACCGTCGGGGCACAAAGGGTTAATATCTTCATCTTTAACATCAACTTTATTCAACTTAGATTTTAACTTACTTTTGTCTGGTTATGTAGTTTTCTATAAACTTGATTCTTTCTTTCTGTTACCTCGATGCATTCTTCGTCTAACCAGTATCTAAATCAAATCCTAAAACTTTTTCTGTCGCCTCACAGATAACATTTTTAAATGTGTTACAAGCATTTTGACACTTTTGACTATTCCCAAGCTTCAGATTTACGTTCTCTTTGTATGATCTATTTCTGTTGTGATCTTTAAGGTTTTTCAGCTTGAATTCCTCATGTTTTGCGCTGTTATCTTTGTAACATTCGTAATCTTATTCACCACCAGACAGTGGTCAAAATCGATGTTAATACTTTTGACATCTATTACGTCAGAATGATCTCATAAGAATATAAATAATTGAGTGTACCCCACATTAATAAGATATTAATTGTTTTTAAAACAAAATAAAAATGAATACTAATTATATATTTGTTGATAAGGTTTAAATAACTTTTTAAGTGGTCATTTTCGTTTATTTTCTCGAGTGTGTATTAACTAATTGGTTTTTATTGACTTATCTATTGCAATAATTAAAATTGAAACATCTATAAATCTTTTCACTCTCAATAAAATCTTGAAAATAACGATGTTTTTACTCAACAAAGTTGCGCTTTTCAATAAACCGTCATCTCAAGTACTTTTATATTTACCAATAAACGGTGTCTGCGTATAACTCACGTTTCAATCGTATCATATCGCTTTTCAGGAAGCTTAAAATTTGCTTTTTTGTCGAGTGTCGATGAACCGCCGAAGCCATATTGAAAATTAAACGCACCCTTTCGCATATTAAACATTCTAAATATGTCAAATCAAATCGAGATTTAAATTTCTATTTAAAAAATTAGATTCGATTACAATTTTTTTTTTTAGGAATTTATTTGTTACAACTTTCAATCAACGACGTTTCCACGGGCAATAAATTTTCTAGTCACCAATAATCAGGTCTCACGGGAAAGCATGATAAATTGCCTGGGGTGTAAGGTTAACTGCAAAACTTCCCTGGGGAATTGCTAAGAAACCATCTTCTAAGAAATTACCATCTAAAAAGCATCAAACAAAAAAAAATGAGAGCGAATCTTCATTTCATTCCGTTTTAGTTGGGTTTATTTATTTTGCCCCTTTTTATTATTATTTTTTTTTGTATCGTAGCCCTAAAGGAAGGTTAATCTCTTCTATTTTACTCACCCTAGAAATATTAAACTGTAGTCGAATTGTTATTCCGGTCCGGATTCTAATCTCGTCCTTCGTAATTAAACTTAGACAGAATATTAATTGCAGGGGACACTCGATTGAGCTTGAAAACCCGAACCAGGACATGTTTCGACGTGACATGATGAATAAATTAAACCTTGTTTTTCGATCATTTACGTTAAAACAAATTAAAATCATTTATTTTTAATTTTAGATTCAATCAACATGAATGCAACATCACCTAGATCTTCTTTAGTTAAATTAGGACTTTGTCCGCGACAAAAAACTTTAAAAGTTATGGTTTTAGGACAAGCCGGAGTTGGAAAATCAGGTTTAAATCTTTTAACTCAATCTTTACTTTTTAATTTAATTTAATTTAATTTAATTTAATTTTAGCTATGGTTGTTAGATTTATTACAAGACGTTACATCGGTGAATATGACCCAACATTGGAAAAAGTCTACAATTTTCATACCGTTATAGACAACGAAATGGTTTATTTCGAGATTTTAGATACTGCGGGACAAATCGAACAAGAAAGCGGCGAATGTTTAACTTTAGAGGCCAATATAAGATGGGCAGAAGCTTTTATCTTGATGTATTCGGTGACCGATAAATGCTCATTCGACGAATGTTACCGTTTGAAATTCTTGATAAACTACAACAAACGTCGAAAAAGATTAGGAAGTGCTTCAAAAGAGGGTATTACCGAAGTTCCCGTCGTTTTAGTCGGAAATAAAATCGATCAAATCGACGATCGGATGGTTACGCTGGAGGAAGGTCAAAAAAGAAGTAAAGAAATCGGTTGTGTTTGTTTTCATGAAATTTCTGTCCGAGAAAGTATAGATCAAGTAAAAATTTTAATGAAATATTTCTAAAAAATTTCTTAATTTTTTTCTTTTAGGTTTTTGCTGTTTTCAGAGACGTTTGTCGTTTTTGGCGCGTACAAAACAAGAATCCTTTAAAGTTAAAACGGAGCGGGAGCGACAACAAAGATCCAATTTCACCCGATACGATTCGTCTTTTATGTTCAGCGACGGTTTCACCCAGTGGTTTCTTCCCAAGCCCTTCTAAACCCGGCCTTTTGAATCGACGTTGGACGGAGGTTGAAGTTGAAGAGAACGACACCAAAGACAGCGGTTTGAGTCCTTCTGAAGCTTTGTTCCGAGAACGAGCTTCAACAGACGGACATCTCCAAAAGACGTGGAGATGGAGGTATCCACCACCTAGTACGAGTCAACAAGGATTTTATCCAACTGCACGTGCAGATAGACGAATGAGTATATCGATGAGAGGAGATAACGCAAGTTATTAAAAAAAATTGTTTACGAATCGAGCTTTAAAAAGAAAATAATTATGTGTTCCACTCATAATATTGATATTGTTGTAAACAATTTAAAATTTCTTGATGTGATACACAATTTATCCACTACTCCTTTAAAAATTAGGAGCCAAATTCAAATTTGATTTAAGACTAAACATTAAAATTGAATTTTGTGCTTCTATTTTTAAATAAAGTAACCTATTATTTAAGTTTATACATAATTAATAAGGGGAAAGCATTGGACGCGATATTTTGATGTTTAAATGGACATATATGCATGCGAAAAAAGAAGATTGTTGTCAATAAATGTGATATTGTATAATAGCATCCCACGTTCATCTCTAATTTAAATGCAATTTTGCATTCAATACACACAATTGCTAATATTAAAGGTTCATGAAGCATATTGTAACAGGTTGTACCTGGTATTGCTAATATTATTCAGTGATTTCTAATTATTTTCAAAGTTCTTCAAGATTTCAAACCATTTATCACATTTTGGCGATAAAAGATTTCTTCTTTCGACATATCCTTATTGATGCTTCAATTACTATGAGTTAATATATCTTCATCTATTCAAAAATGAATCAGGAAATTACAAAGAGCAATTAATAAAGATAATTTAGAATTGAAAACTCATAATCAAATTTTAATTCATCTTATGACCAGCTGTATAATGTTTACCACCAAAAATTGAGGTTATGTACATTTGACAAGAACTGTCAACCTAAAAATGAACGAATTTAACCTGTACTGATTAACAACGTTTTAAAAGTAATAAAACAAATTAATAATAAGTAATTGAAGTTAAAAGAAGTTGAGTGTAAAATTGAATTTTTCTGGAAAACCCATCAAGCATGGAATTAAGATATGAGAATAATACAATGTAGAAATAATAATCACAAATTTCTGACATATCCTTATTGATGCTTCAATTACTATGGGTTATATCTTCATCTATTCAAAAATGTTATTTTAAAGGGAATTACAAATTGCAATTAATATATTTTAGAATTTAAAACTCATAATCAAGTTTTAATTCATCTTATGACCAGCTGTATAACGTTTACCACCAAAAATTGAGGTTATGTACATTTGACAAGAACTGTCAACCTAAAAATGAACGAATTTAACCTGTACTGATTAACAATGTTTTAAAATTAACAAAACAAATTAATAATAAGTAATTGAAGTTAAAAGAAGTTGAGTGTAAAATTGAATTTTTCTGGAAAACCCATCAAGCATGGAATTAAGATATGAGAATAATATAATGGGGAAATAATAATCACAAATTTCTGACATATCCTTATTGATGCTTCAATTACTATGGGTTATATCTTCATCTATTCAAAAATGTTATTTTAAAGGGAATTACAAATTGCAATTAATATATCAATAAGGATATGTCGAAAGAAGAAATCTTTTATCGCCAAAAAGAAGCATAAAATGTGATAAACGGTTTGAAATCTTGAAGAACTTTGAAAATAATTAGAAATCACTGAATAATATTAGCAATACCAGGTACAACCTGTTACAATATGCTTCATGAACCTTTAATATTAGCAATTGTGTGTATTGAATGCAAAATTGCATTTAAATTACAGATGAACGTGGGATGGTTCCTAACGAATCCGATTTTTTCAGTAAATTTGATATTTGTAGATATGAAATGTATGATTTATATAAAGAATTGATGAAGAATTGCAATTTATAATATATTTTAGAATTTAAAACTCATAATCAAGTTTTAATTCATCTTATGACCAGCTGTATAACGTTTACCACCAAAAATTGAGGTTATGTACATTTGACAAGAACTGTCAACCTAAAAATGAACGAATTTAACCTGTACTGATTAACAATGTTTTAAAATTAACAAAACAAATTAATAATAAGTAATTGAAGTTAAAAGAAGTTGAGTGTAAAATTGCATTTTTTCCGCCATTAATTCAAGCATGGAATTAAGATATGAGAATAATACAATGTGGAAATAATAATCATAAATTAAAAAAAAAAATTTAATTGCAACTTATCTTCGCCACGTGTTTGATAAATGACTACAAATCAATAATTATATGTTATTTTTTACTTTGTAATTCAAATTAACTTATCACAAATAAATTGAGTAAATTAATTTGGTTTAAGTATTCATGTATAAAATTCCATAAATTTTATTCCTTTTTATGTTATATTAAAATACAACCACATCCACTAATTTATTATACTCAAGGTCGATAAAAAAAAACATTTAAATAAATCAGCATTGCTTTAAAACATCCAGTTCATAGTTCAATGTTAAACAAGTTTTATCATTTTACTTAATAAAATGATTCTTCTTTTGATCATTTTTTCGCCTTTAATTTACTGGATATTAACATTTTTAATTTACGAAAGGCATTTATATAAACTTCCAGGTCCAACTCCATGGCCAATAATTGGGAATGCTTTAGAATTTGGTACAACAACCAGTAAGTGTTAATAACACAATTATTAAAAGAATTGTTTGAATTTATACATTTTTTAAGAAATAATGACTACTTTAGCACGATATCGAAAGAAATATAACGGTAATTTTCGAATTTATATGGGTTATGACCCGATGGTAGTGATAACAGAACCCAAAACAGCCGAATTCTTTTTAACAAATACTCAATTAGATAAATCAAGGCATTATAAATTTTCTTATAACTGGTTAAGAAACGGTTTATTAGTTAGTAATGGTAAATACTGGAAGAATCGACGACGAATTTTAACTCCAGCTTTTCATTTTAACATCTTAAAAGATTACGTGAAAATTTTCGATACTGTCAGTGATGTTTTAATTGAAAAATTAAAACCAAAAGTTAATGAAATTGTTGATATATTCCCTCTGTCTAAATTAACATCTTTAGATATTATTTGCGGTTTGTATTGTTTTAGATAATTTTCTCTCAAAATTATAATTTTTTCAAACTCTTTTAGAAGCTGCAATGGGGTCTTCTGTAAATGCTTTAAAACAATCTGGTTCTTCTTACGTTAAAAGCGTTGAAGAAATGGGGAAAGTAATAATACAAAGAATATTTAGTGCTTTACATAGTATTGATTTTATTTACAAATTTACAAATACTGCAAAATATGAAAAGAAGATATTACGCGTTATTCATAATCACAGCGAATCCATTATTTCAACGAGAAAGAAAGAATTTGCGAGTAACAACGTTTCGAGTAAAACAAAGAAGAAGCAAGCTTTTCTCGATTTATTATTAACATACTCTATGGAAGGTGAAAATTTAAGTGAAAGGGATATTCAAGAAGAAGTGGACACTTTTATGTTTGCTGTAATTATTAAAATCGTTTTTTTTTTGGTATTAACAATCTCATTCTTTTTAAGGGCCATGATACAACAGCAACATCATTTGCTTTTACTTTGTATTGTCTTAGTAAAAACGAAAGAGTTCAAGTAAAAATTAATTTAACTTAACAAAATTTATAAATATGATTACCTAATTTTAGAATAAAATCATTGAAGAGCTTGACGAAATATACAAAGATGATCCAAATAGACCAACAACATACCAAGATTTACAAGACATGAAATACTTAGATTTAGTACTTAAAGAATCTTTGCGAATGTTCCCATCCGTTCCATTTCATTTCAGACAAGTCACCGAAGAATTATCATTCAGTAAATAATTAATTAATTATTTAAATAATTATTTATGAATAACCTTTTTAGATGGAATTACATACCCTAAAGGTACAACAATTATGATTTACAATTTAGGAATGCATCTTGACGAAAATTACTTTAAAAATCCGCACGATTTTTACCCGGAAAGATTTGACAGCGAAAATGACGATGTAAAAACGAGAGGCAGCTTTTCTTACATCCCTTTTAGTGCAGGACCGCGAAATTGTATTGGTAATGGAAAAGAAATGTATTTAAAAAGAAAATTCTTAAAAAAAAAATATTTTAGGTCAAAGATTTGCAATTCTTCAACTTAAATCGTCCGTTTCTAAAGTAATGAGACACTTTAGATTATTACCATGCAAAGATCATCAGCTAGTTTTAGCCAATGAAACTGTTATGGTGTCTCATACTGGAACACCAGTACATCTTGTTGCTAGAAATTAATTTTTTTATGGATGTTTTTTTAATATAATCGTGTTTTGTAGCTGATTTTATAAAATTAAATACTTATCATAATTTTATTATATGAAAACCTTTGCCATTCGTCCAATGCCTTTATCATTATGTATTGCCAAACACCTCTACCAGTTACTTTAGACTTGAATTATTATGTCCATGTTTTGTTTGGAACTAACAGCCTTCGGGGCTATTGTTACTATTAAAAGTAAACCATACAATGCTGTGTTTAGTAATTAACAACTTTGACGTTGAAAGGGTAAATATTGTAATACATAATATAACCGAACCAAGTCATGCATTATTTTTTTCAATCTTACATATATTGAGTATTAATCGTAGGTGAGGTTACGAATAATGATTATAAAAATTTGCTTTTATATTAATAAAATGTTGTAAATATTTTAGAATTCATTATGTATTGTTGACCGTTTACGTTTTTTTATTGTATTTAATCCATGTAAAGTCAATACGAAGTAATTTTGTAGAATTTTGACAGTAACATAACCTCAAATTCTATTTTTCATTAATTTCTTATTGTAATTCATGTTTGTCCGGTTGAAACTATTGAAAACGATAATCTTAGCATGTCAAGAACGAAAACCATCCATCATATGGGAGTTTTGATGAAGAATGGACGAAAATCCATAGATTAAATATTTGAATATATTTTTGAAGCTGACGTTGAAATCTAAAAGAAAATGTTCCGAAATCAGCACAAACAAAGTTATAACAACAAAACGACAAAATTTCATACATAAATATTGTTAAAATAGAAATTTCAATAATTTTTGATAAAATTTAATTGGTGACATTTGACATTTCAAAGTTGGCCATAATGGAGACATTTAAATAACAAATTTCAAGTTGAAGAATTTAACCAATCAGAAGACGTTATTTAAAACGTTGTAGCCTTAAACAAAGAAAACTGGTAGATTTTAGTGTGATTTCGAATGTAACTAGGAGCGCACGCCAATTTTGTACCAAAACTAAACAAAAAAGGTTACTTGTCAATCACTATTGTGACATAACCTCAAAAATAATAAACTGATTATTTTAGTTGAATAAGAAGATTATTTGAATTAAAATTACTCACCTTTAATAATAAACATGAAAATTAACTAGTTCCTGATCCAATTAATCCAGTATACCATTCCGAAGAATCAAGAATCTTTGTTACCGATTCCTTTTGAAGAGTCCAAGTTTCCTTATCCGAGAACTTCAGTAATCTACAAGATTAAGCTAAGTGATAATTTTCTATTTCATTATTATTCGTTGTTTTTATTTTAATTTTCATTTCAAATTGCACTTACCTAAAATACGATTAATTTGAGTTATAATTTTGTTTGGTTATGTTATTACAATTTCATTACGTATGATTAAATTATTAAAACTGGTTAATTAATTTACTTCGTATTAACCACAAGTAAGATAATATTATTAATTATTTCAATGAGAGTTTTGTTAAAATTTACTTATTTATTTTTATACTCGTTTACTCAAGCATTGAACCCACAAATAACCCTGAAGAGTCTCACACTTACCTGAGTCATTTGACAAATTGACAACGTTGTATTTTTTTTATTGTTTATTTATTTGAATTAATTAAAATAATGTCACTATATGCCATCACATATTAATTGGCGCCCAACGTGGGGCCAATAAAAAACAAAATCAAGTCAATTAAAATATATCACCTCAATATCATATTTAAATGGTTCTAAATAATGAACCATTTTTTAACAGGCTGTTGGTGATTGGTATCTCCAAGAAATCGTTGATATGGATGGTGATGAAAGCTCAAAAAAATGTGGAGTTACAGATTTACAATCGATAATAAAAAATGTAATGTGACAATAACCGGTTTGAGAATTTTCAATGAAACCGGGGCTAATGCTAAAGTTGAAAAGTATAAAGTAAAGGATAATTAAAAGGAAAGACGGAAAAGCAATTCAAAATGCTTGGAAGATCGGAATCTATTATGACAATTGGTCGACATTGTATCTTTGTAAATTTATAATTCGTATAAAGATTTCTTAAAATAAAAAACACCTTCTGGGGTTCGCATATCATAAAATTCTTCAGGTCGATATCTCCCGTGTTGCGTTTGAACAACTTGAGACATTCTTTTCTTGGAAATCGCCATTGTTTTCCGATAAAGATCCGGATAGGTTTTAATCGCAGACAGAAAACATTTTCTAGACAAAACGTAGAGATCACAATAATCAACAGCAATAACTGTGGCAACTCTCGACGTATGTTTCATAATCATGCAAACTTCTCCGAAATTACCACCGTTTGAAATGTGGCAAATTTCTTTACCGCCTGGTGTATAAACAGCAACCATTCCTGATGAAATAAAATACATACAATCTCCAATATCCCCTGCCCTTGTTATGATATCGTTGGGTAAATAAATTTCTTCTTCCATTAACCCCGTGAGCATGGTGATAACTGAAAAGGGCATATCTTTTAGGATGTCGACGTTTTCCAGGAGTCGTTCACAAATGTGGGAATTAATTTCGGACCTTAAAGTAGTCGATAAGGTTTGTAGAATTTCAGATTCACGATAATAACTTTTTTGAAATTTAAAATCGAAATAATCTTGGCACTTTGATGCGATTGATGGTGGTACTTGCTTATTACGCACGTAATTATGTAATTGTATGTTTTTGTCGTTATACTTATTTTCACTGGTTTTGTGTTTTTCGACTAATTGAAGAATTTGTGAAATAAAGTACATTTGCAAAACAACTCCGACCGCTAAAGCCGCCAATTCGAACGGTAAAAGAATCAAACTTTTCGTCGGATAATGATCGATCAGGAAAAAGAAGTCGAAAACTTCCACGAAACATATCACCAAGTTTGTGTTTAGATAATTTTCGTCGTCCGGGTTAATCAACCATTCCTCTTCAGATTCTCTTGCTAAAACAAACAAAACGCCCGTCGCCCACAACAGTAATAAAAACGTGATTAATAACAATTTAAACATCTTAAATCGAAAGATGCTGTATTGATAAAATTCGCGTAATCGGTTCATGTAAACAGTCAATGTGAAAATTCTAAGGATTTTTATGATATTCATAAATCTAATCGAATTTGTTCCAGATATGTTTGATGTGGAATCGGTTGATTGCGATTCCATAAAGACACTCATAATATCCGAGTTAATTAACGGCAAAAAATCTGTGAGGAATCTACCTTTTAGATATTTCATGGCTACCTTTTTCTGTGACAATATAATTTTCTTGGTTTTATCATCCAAATAACCACTTTGAAATCCGATTAATATATCTATAAAACACAAAATGTCTAATGTTATACGCAGAACCAACACTCCACTCGTAACATGTTCCCAACACAACACGATTGGGACGATTATCAACATGAGCGTTATCGCGATGATCATCATAAACTCCCAGTAACATTTCATCGAACTGAATGGGTGTATCATGTAATAATGATCTTCCAAGTGAATTATTTTCTCTCTGCGAATGTTAAATGTCGACTTTAGGTACATTTTACTACGCGGATTTGACTCCCAAACCATTGTTTGTCTCTTAATCCATCTCCTAAACATTACAAAATATCCACCGGAAATGTATCGCACCAATATATCTTCTTCTTGGGGAAGTGTACAGTTATGATTTGAAACATCCGTAACAGATTTTCTTGCACGTAAAGGCATCTTTTATTAATTTTTTTGACTTTTCAACGATCAAATTGTTCAATACTCCTTGATTCATTTATATCCCTCTATATTTATTAGATCTGATATAATCTTGGTTGCCTACATTAAAGGTTTGTAAAACTATTAAATAAATTTTTGACTATACATTGAAATTACAATACAAATAAAACAAAATTTACCATTCTTAAAAACCATTTATTAAAAAAAATCTATATAACATGATGGTAGTTATCTTGAATCAAGTACCATTGGCGTTCTTATACGTGATGTTGAAGTCGTTTATAGACTCCATATCGGACAGAATCCTCAATACAAGGAACGATAAGTTCCTTGCACGTATGCTCAAAGGGAGCACCCCCTTCCCGTAACATAAAAGTGGGATACGTTAGTAGGATACAGAGAGCTTCTTTAAGCAACGATATGTGGTCTCATGTCGCAATTATGGATAATCTTTGGTACATTTGTTGTGAGTAAGGTACGCGAGCGTCAAGAAGAAATCACCGAAATGATAACTTAACGACGCTCGTGTAGACCCTCCCATCTGCGATGGACACCCGGCCTAAGCATGGGCTGACCCAAAATCCCGACCAACATTATTAAAGTGGTATTGAAATTTCTATGACTGGCGGCTCAAAATAGACGATTAAATGTAATGTTCCAAACTGAGAGAAAAATAATTATAATTAAGTAAAAATAAAAACGAAAACAACTTACTTTTGGAATGGTATATGTGGTATATGTGAACAGCTAACTTCTCCCAGTGAGAGTCAACTGCTGACAATTCATATCCTTTGTTACTTATTTATAGTAGAGACCCCTCTCTTTTTGCGGTATTTATTAATGTAACGTCAAATCCTTTGTTAATAATATTCTTATCATGTGCGTTATAAATTTATCGCGTTTATTAATCATGAATTTAAAATGCTTTTGTTAAAACTGTTAGTAAACAAAATAAAAATCTTTGGTTTATAATTATTAATTGACATCTTGTTGTCTATATAATACACTTGAACTCAAAAGTAGATAAATGAGGTATTCCCAGTAATACTATACTCTCTTTGTCACTACAGATAAACTCAGGGTATTCCCCGAGTTGTCTATACGATGTATGTATAAATCTTCTGATTTTTTTTGTAATCAGAAAAAAATAACGAATTTAATAAGCGAATAATCAGTGGTCGTTTCCATTTAAAAAAACGAAAGTTGTTTGACTACCTCATCAAATTCTCTGTAAAAAAGTGTCCATATAATGTCTTTGTTATAATACTTCACCTATAATAATAACCAGGATAATTGCACTTGCTGGATTCACGATATTTTCAATTTTGGCGGGTTTCTAACTACCAGCATTTTTGGACTTTCTTCCACCTTGTCCTTATCTCTTAATTCCATACATACATTACATCATATTATAACTGATCTTTTGTAGTAACATCTTGTTGTCTAAATAATACACATGTTTATTATTAACTTCAAAAGTACATAAATGAGGGATTCCCAGAAATACTTTACTCTCTTTGTCACTACAGATAAACCAACCTCTGTTCATAGATAAACTCAGGGTATTCCCAAAGTTGTTTATAGGATGTATAAATCTAGGATGATAATTCAAGGTTTAACTTTTATTCAACATTAGATTGTTGTATATTTTTCATTGAACTCAACTTTTCAACCAAGTTATCCTTTATTTAAAATAAAACTTTGTTCCTTTATAACTTCATCATACATTTTTCTCTTAACTTAACTTTATCTATATAAAAATAAAAATGTGTATTTGCTTATTGTTTAGTTTAAACAGATTCAAGCTCCTTTTTCTTATTTAAGATATGCAGTATTTTCTTTAAATAACAAAAACTTTGCATTCAAACTAAAAATGAATTAATACTAAAGAGTAACAGAAATTAATGTACATTCTAAAATGAAATGGTTACAACTACCAGTTGTTTACTTCCGAATTTTTCGTCCTCCTAAAAATAAAAAATATTTTTGGATTATTTTATTATAACATTTCTCTCAAAAAAATCTTACTTCCTCTTCCATAACCATGTGAAACCTTCACCCATTCTTCTTCTCGACTTGTCTTTGTATCATCAATATTTAGATCAGATAATGAATCAACCAAAGTTGATCCATCAGAAGTTGTTGCACTTTCCTAAAAAAAATTGTTATTAATTATTGATTAAAATACCAATTAGATTATTTACTCGATTTGAAGTTTCACTCAACAGCTTTGGAGGAACTATTCCAACTGGTGGTTGTTGATTTTTTTTACAATTTTCGCCAGGTTTACCTCGACCCATTAAAATTTTGATCAATTTTTTTCTTGATTCCTCAATATCTGAGCTACCATAAACTGAAAATCCAGATGCCTCTGAAGTTGATTCCTAAATAAATGAATTTTTTTTAATAAATACTTAAAAATTAACTTAACAAAAAAATTTCAATACCCTTTCAGATAAATCGGATTCCTCATATTTTTTTGCTTTTAAAGATGCTTCATTCTTCTCTCGTTCTAATCTATCTAACATTTGATGTCTTTCGCGTTCCGCCTGCCGAAATTGTTTCCTTACACTAGGTGGCTCAACTTGGATTGTTCGAATGACTCGATTTTGTTCGCAATATAATTGCGGATTATAGGACGGCGCATCAGTCTAAATAAAAACAGTGTATTAATATTAAAATTAAGGGGAAGAAATTCTCACCGTTTCCCAAGTGTCATCATATTCGATGGGGACGTTTCTATCAATTTTCCATCTTTCCTCTATTGGTTCATCTCGATATAACTCTTGTTCCAGTTGTTTTCGTTGTTCACAAGTTTGAATGTGATACTTTTTAAAAATAAAATAGAAAAAATTTGACATTTATAAACTTTGAGGTTATGTTCACTTCAAATTTACCTCCAATTCTGGTTCTGGTACTTTATGTTCCGCGAAAAGAGGACAGGTAACGAGCTTGACATGGGGATTAGCTTTACGACACCTAACCAAATGATACAAGAATCTCTTCGCAGTTATTCTGTGTGAAACGTTGTAAGGACAGGTTTTGAGCTCTTCTAATTCGCTGAAAATGATTAGGATATATTGAGTTTATGAAGGATTGTGTTAATAAAGATATACGTACCCAGACGTATACATTGCCATGTTAGAAATGCTTTTTAAGACTTATTTTTGTACTTTAAATGAAAATCGTATCACACGAGTACTTAGAACTAGGTGTCTAAAACCATGCTAAAAGACGGTCTCCTAAATAGTGCCATCTATTGACAATTTACAAAAATTAAATACTTATGCTAAACCATATTTAAAAAAAAATAATTGAGATGTATTTTGTTTACATATTAACTTTGTATGATTTTTGCAATAATTAGACTTGTCTATTAATAATTGTTTTATTTTTAGTGAAATGTGTAAGGGATGTTGCCTAACTTCAACAAAATTGTAAAATTAAATTAATAAAAAATAAACATTATGGTTTAAAATTCTAAAATTAAATTAATAAAAATAAACATTCGGGTTTAGCCATGCGTCTTCAGATACTTTCTAGTTTTAGGATTAGTGTTAGTTCTAATTTTAGTTAATATCAAAATGTGCAACATGTCGGTTTATTGAAGTTAGGCATCATCCCTTACACACTTAACTAATTTCAAAAAATAAAAATTATTGATATATAACCCCAATTATTGCAAAAAATCATATAAAAATTACGAGAAAGTTAATATATAAACAAAATACATCTAAATTATTTTTTTTAATTATGATCTTGCTGATCTTGCTTAAGTATTTAGTTTTATAAATGGTCAATAGATGGCACTATTTACGAAACCGTCTTTTGGCATAGTTTTAGACAGCTAGATTACCAGTTAAAGTACAAAAATAAGTCTTAAAAAGCATTTCTACAATGGCAATGTATACATCTGGGTACGTATATCGTTATTAACACAATACTTCATAAATTCAATATTTCTTAATCATTTTAAGTGAATTAGAAGAGCTCAAAACTTGTCCTTACAACGTTTCACATAGAATACTTGCGAAAAGATTCTCGTATCATTTGGTTAGGTGTCGTAAAGCTAATCCCCATGTTAAGCTCGTTACCTGTCCCCTTTTCGCCCAACATAAAGTACCAGAACCAGAATTGGAGGTAAATTTGAAGTTAACATAACCTCAAAGTTTATAAATGTCAAATTTTTGAATAATTTTTCTATTTTATTTTTAAAAAGTATCACATTCAAAGTTGTGAACAACGAAAAGAATTGGAGAAGCAGTTATATCTAGATGAACCAATAGAGGAAAAATGGAAAATTGATAGGAATGTCCCTATGGAATATGATGACACTTGGGAAACGGTGGGAATTTCTTCCTCTTAATTTTAATATTAATACAATTTTTTTATTTAGACTGATGCGCCGTCCTATAATCCGCAAATATATTGTGAACAAAATCGAATTATTCGAACAATCCAAGTTGAGCCACCTAGTGTCAGGAAAAAATTTCGGCAGGCAGAACGTGAAAGACACCAAATGTTAGATAGATTAGAACGTGAGAGGAATGAAGCATCTTTAAAAGCAAAAAAATATGAGGAATCTGACCTATCTGAAAGGGTATTGATTTTTTTTTGTTTAATTAATTTCTAAGTATTAAAAGGAATTCATTTATTTTAGGAATCAACTTCAGAAGCATCTGGATTTTCAGTTTATGGTGACTCAGATATTGAGGCATCAAGAAAAAATTGGAACAAAATTTTAATGGGTCCAGGAAAAACTGGGGAAAATTTACCAAAGAATCAACAACCACCAGTTAGAATAGTTCCTTCAAACCTGTTGAGTGAAACTTCAAATCGAGTAAATAATTTAATTAGTATTTTAATCAATAACTTTAATACAAAAATTTTTTAGGAAAGTGCAACAACTTCTGATGGATCAACTTTGGTTGATTCATTATCTGATCTAAATATTGATGATACAAAGAAAACTCAAGAAGAAAAATGGGTGAAGGTTTCGTATGGTCATGCAAGAGGAAGTAAGATTTTTTTGAGGGTAATATTATAATAAAATAATCCAAAAAACTATTTATTTTTAGGAGGACGAAAAATTCGAAAGTAAACAACTGGTAGTTGTAACCATTTAATTTTAGAATGTACATTAATGTCTGTTACTCTTTAGTGTTAATTCATTTTTAGTTTGAATGCAAAGTTTTTGTTATTTAAAGAAAATATTTTATATCTTAAATAAGAAAAAGGAGCTTGAATTTGTTTAAACTAAACAATAAGCAAATACACATTTTTATTTTTATATACATAAAGTCAAGTTAAAAGAAGTTAAGTTACCCTTTAGTGTTAATTCATTTTTAGTTTGAATGCAAAGTTTTTGTTATTTAAAGAAAATATTTTATATCTTAAATAAGAAAAAGGAGCTTGAATTTGTTTAAACTAAACAATAAGCAAATACACGTTTTTATTTTTATATAGATAAAGTTGAAGAATGTATGATGAAGTTATAAAATAACAAATTTTTATTTTAAATAAAGGATAACATGGTTCCAACCAAACTAATGTTGAATTAGATCATCTTTAAAATTGGATACTTGAGAATGGCCTGAAAAAGTTTAGTTCAATGAAAAATATACAATAATCTAATGTTGAATAAAAATTAAAACTAGAATTATTATCCTTGATTTATACATCCTATGGGAATACCCTGAGTTTATCTATCAATAGAGGTTTTACTATAGTGACAAAGAGTAGAGTATTTCTGGGAATACCTCATTTACCTACTTTTGAGATCAAGTGTATTATTTAGACAACAAGATGTGTCGATTAATAATTAGAATTATGATTTTTATAACAAAGTTTACTAACAGTTTTAACAAAAGCATTTGAAATTCATGATTAATAAACACGATAAATTTATAATGCATATGATAAGAATATATTTATTAGTTTTACAAACCTTTAATGTAGGCAACCAAGATTATACCAGATCTGATTAAACCGTTATTTTGATAACAAAAGATTATGATAACTAATAAAATAATAAATTTTAATTATTTATAAAATTCGGAAGAAAAACATAAACATTGGCGGCAAATACCTAAGTACTTTGCAGAGGATATAGTCTTTATTTGGGATTACCTTGGAGAGATGAAACTGATACTAAACGACTTAAATTTATAAACAAATTTATAATAAAAAATTTATGACAAATCTTGTTAACATCAACATTGGGGATAATGAGATTGAGAGGTTTGACAGCTATGTAGGTATATCTTGGCCATTAGGTTCGTGTATTGAGAGATAATCAAACAAGCGAACTAAACAGAAGAATCAGACTCGTATAGACAGCCTACGGGAAACTTAGAGACATCTTCAAGAGCAATAATCCTATATATGTGAAAAGAAAGCCTTTCAATCAATGCGTGCAACTTTAACATTAATGGTAGCAACTGCCAGGAGATTCAAAGTAACGTAAGGAAAGGTGGAGAGGTCGATGCTGGGTGTAACCCTGAGAGACCACATACGAAATGATGACCTACGAAGAACCTGCCCAGTTCTAGAGTGGAGACTGCTGGATGGATGACGTCAAAAGAATCACCAAAAATTGGATTCAGATAGCCTAATACTATAGGTGGAGTGTAGTGAGTTGAGGGAGGAGCTGATGGATTGGAGACAAGTGTTGGAGGAGAGGGCAGAGGAAAGGAGATGGATTGGGGAAGTGGCAGCAAGGAGACATAGGGGATTTAGATTAGTTATGGAAAAAGATTTTTTTTTAATACTAATTATAAATTATTAAGTTACTAATAATAACGCTCAGATAATTCTATCTGAAGATCTGATAAATGAAAATAACATAATGACTGAAGAAATTAGGAGTCCAAAGTAAGCTTACTTTGGACTGAGAAAACTATTAACATCAGGCATAGTAACCAACAAAACTAAGATACTAATATATAAAACGCGTTAGAAACATGGACGATGACAAAAAATGATGAAAAGTTGTTGGGCTGCTTTGAAAGAAAGATGCTTCACCACATATACAGAGGTGTTCAGAAAAACGGACGATAGAGAAGGCGTTACAATTTTGAATTGAACAGTTTTTGGACACCGCAAAAGAGGCAGGCCTCACAGCAGATATAAGGATGAGGTGGAAGAAAGTCTAAAAATGCTGGCAGTTAGAAACTGGAAAGCCAAGGCATGAGATAGAAGAGAGTGAAAGCTGATCCTAAAACAATGGATTAGCTTCCAATGATGATGATGATGTTTTATAACTAGTAGCCTTGTTAAAGTTACAAATTGAAATAAATAAAATATTTTAATTAATTTTATTCAATATCAATTTAAAACGATTCAATTTAAAATGGTTTAACGACTTAACGACTTCTATTGTATACTGCAATAAAAATCTATTTAGTAAATCTATTTTAAAAGATAATAAGAACGTTAAAAATAATAATACTCTTAATTTAGGAACGCATCGGATCCGCATTCTGCGGTGTAATTCTTAGGAACATAATCATCGACTAGATTCATAAATTTACCAATTTCACAGCTTTCTTCGCAACCGGAAATGATTTCAATTCGAAATTCCTCATTAACATCGTATTCGTAAAATACTTTAACTCTGTACTCATTGGACAAAGGAACGTAATAAAGTTCTATAATCGCAGCAGCGCTGTATTTCGGAACGTGTGCTTTAAAAACATTTAAGGCTGCTAAAATATTAATAACGTTGTTTTCGTGACCTGAATATAAGTAAATCTTTCTTTCCTTTGGTAATTCATCTTTAATCTTAGATAGCATTTGATTCAAAACTATCTTAAGCATTCTACCGCCGTTTAAACGTTTTAAGATTGGATTATAATTTTCAAATTCGCACTGTTTTCCGGCTAATTGGTCGATTAGACCTGGATATATGGGCTTTGTCCATTCTGGTAATGTAAAATTCATTGTTTCCTCGGCGTGCAAAGTTTGGTAAATGGAAAATACGTCGTAAAGGGTTTTTATTGGTTTCCCAGAGTTTTCTTCTATATATTCGAAAGTTTCTTTGTGGTCGCTTAACAAGTTTTTGTAATCTTCGGATTCGTAAATTTTGTTTAATTCTTTTACGTAGTTTGGGCAATACCCTGTTGGTCTTCTTATAAACTAAATAAAATAAATTTTTAAAACGGTAATTTTATTTAATAAAACTTACGTAATCGTAATCGTTTTTATCGAAATGGTAAGGAATTGGCATCCAAGAAAGATGATCGTCCCACTTTTGGGACGAAGTCGGTGGAAATAAACCTGCCAATACAAGTAAAGCACTCATTTTTGTTCTGTCGTAATCGGTTGAGGTCATTTCGACTATATCCGGAGTATAAATCTCGCCCAAGAAATGATTATAACGTTTTCTTAGTAATTTGCCAAGTTTATAAGCACGTTGTTTTCCAACCTAAAATAAATTTTAATTTAAAAACTTCTTTAAAAAATGTTTATTGATTAAAAATACGTTTGTTAATTGTCCCCAACCCATTGGTTCAAAATCTTGGATCGTGTAAGGATCGTTTGGGTAAATGTCTTTTTCTTCTGGAGTTCTACTACCATGTCTAAAAAACTTAATTAAAAGATTTTTTAAATATTTTTTTTTAATTTAACTTAAAAATACTTACAACATGAACCAAAAGCAAATTCTCTTCTGTGGCAGCAAAAATCGAGGAAAAAACACTAATTATTAAAAATAACGTCAACATTTTCCTTCGTTTAAAATATCTTTAATATCACAATTTTTTTTTCTATTATTCTCTTAGAAATCCAAACGCACTGACTACGAACTATTTCTTGTCGCGATCTTTTATCGTTGTTAAATATGGAAGGTCGAAGAGGTGTGAGGGGGGATCTTGAGGATGTTCACATGTTGAAAGCGTTCTTATCTTTAATTTTCTTGCACGAGACTCTTGAAAGTCGGCCGATATCGAACGATGTTTGTCAAAACGAGAGTAAAGTTCAGAAAATACAACAGCACGTTTTGATAAGAAGGATATCACGTGAATTATAAAAAAACTTCTCTTTCATAAGACGATGACGGTCTTTAATAAATTTTGCAAAGTTGTTATCGCAAACAAGCTATTTTCCATGGTTTTTAGTGTTTTAGTAACAGGATGTTTAATAATAACTTATTTTTGTTATTATCTTATTTGATTATATTTGGGAAAGTTTTTGAATTAATTATGTCAAGTTATAAAAGGAAAATAGTAGGAATAGTACTCAAAAATGGTTCAAATTTAGGTTGAGTTTCAATTAAAAAGTCATAACTTATTCATACATCGAAATGGAACCATGAAATTTTCAGTGTTTATATTAAAATGAACGTAGATTTCAATAAAAATTGAAAAAATAATGATTGTTTAGGATAATACATTTCTTTTAATAACACAACTCTTTTCAAAATGATTCAAAATTATATACAGAAAGAATTGGGAATCACTGGCGAGAGCAGAGGGTTAGGTTGCGTTAAGAGATATGACAGCTACTTGGGCTGGGCTAAAACTATGATGGGTTGGTTCTGTGGAGGGTGTGACACGCCCGAGCACACGGTGTTTTGATGTGCAGAGTTCGAAGAAATAAGGCAGGAGTGTAGAGCGGTATGCGAAGAAGAGCTGGACACTGAAAACGTTGAAAAATGATGTTGAGCTCGGAGCCAAAGTGGAATGCCATCGTTGATATGATTGCGAAGATCATGGGCTGAAGATTGAGTACCAAAAAGAGACGGACAGGACAAAGCAGGGAAGAAGAGGATGATTGGAGAGGGGTTAGTCCTCCTAATATAGGGATGAAGGTAAGAGATAATAACTCAGTGAGATCAGAGGAAGAGCATGGAGGTTCCCACACTACGGAGAGGAGGGAAGATATAATTAGAATTTCTTCCAACCCGTCACTACCCGGCCTCATGATATGTTAGGCCGGGTGTCTAGTTGCGTTAGGTTGGGTTTTTCTTATATCTTGCGGAGTGCACCAGGGGTCTGTTTTAGGTCCAACTCTCTGGAACATATTTTATGATGAGGTTCTTCAAATGAAGATGGAGGCAAAAGTGGTCATTTGCTCTTCATAGCAAGAAAGGAAAGGCGAGCGTTGATGATAAATCCAGATGTGGTAGTGCTCTAGGAAAGAAGAAAAGCACCCAGGATGACGATTAACGTTAACGGAACGGATGTGGAAAGTCTTGCAATGATAAGGTACTTAGGAGTGCATCTAGAGTGAGCCATTAAGTACAAATATTACAAAAACATGCTTAGCTCTAAATATAGAAAACTGTCAATAGAAGTGACGTCGGCTTATTGCACTGTCCACTGTAAGTGTGGAAGCAATAGTAAGTATGCCTCCCATGGACCTATTGGTAGAAGAGAAAATCAATTTTCACAAAAAAGGAAAATAATATGGGGTAGAGGCAAGAAAGGAATTCATGGACTAATGGGAACCACGGCTCAACTACCACCTGACACAATTGCTCTCGGGGCACGGAGTATTTAGCAACTATCGGAAGAAAATTAAGAAATTTTCAACAGTCCCTAACATCTGCCGGTTTTGTGCGGAGGTAGACACCGCGGAACATACAGCATTTGTATATGTAAGATTCCGAAAACAGAGAGAGTAGTTCCAGAAAAAGTGCAGAGTAATTTTAAGCACAGATAAGATTCTGCCTTTATTTTCCTTTCAAACTAAATTCTCTCGCTTCTCTTCCCAAACTTAATTTATTTTGTAGAATAATAAAAGTTTCACGAATTATATAGGATATAACGAAAGGATAAGATAATTGATATGAAATATATAAATGAAATAATAGTTATTTATATTACAAGTGGGCTAGAAACATAATTACAGTACGAGTGTGGAGAATTAGTATTGTTTTTCTGTAAATAGATAGCACTTTTTCTTTTGTGTTGTTGCTCGTTTCAATAAATTAAGTCTGTTCTGATTAGGCTAAAAGTGCGTTACGTAATGAAACCAGTGCGGTAATAATAGTATATTAAAAAACAAGTTGAATGAATGAGTGCTTTAAGTCTTATGAAACGTGTTTTTTATGCTATTTTTTGTAATTCGCGTTTTTATACTTTTTTTGAACAAAAATAAAGTAAATTTTGGCAATGTAGGGAAATAGGTATGTAGCAGTTGGTAACACCGGAACACTTGAAAATAGAAACTTTGAATTGTCAATTAAAAACTGTCAAAACACAAAATATATTCACCTGAAAAAAATGTTTGATGTACATCTCCCAAAATAAGAGAAATTGCTCAGAGTCAATGTCCTCATCATTGTGGACTTTGTATTCGATGCTAAGAATGTGTTTAAATATCCATAGACAAAAATTGTCACATTGACAACTAGAAAAATTAATGACCCAATGTCACCAACTTGAATTGGTTCCATAAAATGTTACTAAAATCTCATTACAGCATCGGATGCTGTAAGGAGTCTCATNAATAGTATATTAAAAAACAAGTTTCGTAAGACACGCTTGAAATGCACGAATTCAAGTTGAAAAACGAGTGGCGAAGCCACGAGTTTTTTAATGAATGAGTGCTTTAAGTCTTATGAAACGTGTTTTTTATGCTATTTTTTGTAATTCGCGTTTTTATACTTTTTTTTAACAAAAATAAAGTAAATTTTGGCAATGTAGGGAAATAGGTATGTAGCAGTTGGTAACACCGGAACACTTGAAAATAGAAACATTAAATTGACAATTAGAAGCTGTCAAAACACAAAATATATTCACCTGAAAAAAATGTTTGATGTACACCTTCCAAAATAAGAGAAATTGCTCAGAGTCAATGTCCTCATCGTTGTGGACTTTGTATTCGATGCTAAGAATGTGTTTAAACATCCATAGACAAAAATTGTCACATTGACAACTAGAAAAATTAATGACCCAATGTCACCAACTTGAATTGGTTCCATAAAATGTTACTAAAATCTCATTACAGCATCGGATGCTGTAAGGACTCTCATTACAGCACCCGTTTGAGTACTGTTATAGCTTCCATTACCGTAGCGAATTACAAAAACTTCATTACTCAAATCACCTCAAATGAGTGCGGTAATGATGACTTATCCAAGCAGTCGTAGATAAATTAAATTAAAGAAGCTAAATAAAACAAAATTTTTTTATAATCATTTTATTTACTAAGCGACGATTATAAAATCAATAAGCAACAATAACAATTTTCCACGTTGTTTAATCGGTATTTTTCGACTAGTTTAATTTATTATTTTTATTTGTCTAACGATATTTATCGATCACAACAGTTCTATGGCTAAGTTTTTCTTATTATTTATTCTTTTTGTGAAATTTACCATCTATTTTTTTTGTTTTTTAACATTTCTCCATCTAAAACGTTTTATGTTTCCTCGGAATCATTTATTAAAACGTTTATTTAGGCAGTCTATTTTTTTAATTACCACTAACTAACAATTATTTTCGTTTCGTTTAGAGTCTCTCATTTCAAATTTATATTTAACCTTTTAATTTCTCTACATTTACAATATTGTTTTAATATATACTTTCTTTATTTTGTTATTATTTTTTCTGTTTATCACTATATATAAATAATTGCTTTCTTACTTATTTTTTTTAAACGTTAATTTTTTTTAAATTTTTTTATAAATTATTTTAAATTAAAAATGGAAATTAAAAAATAATCGCTCTATTGCTGAGGATCTCAATATAAAATAGTATCAAATTTTTTGTTATAATATTATTATTTTCTTTTTCTTTTGGGGTTGTTATTTTGAGCGGCTCTGTTTTATTATTTATTTTGGAGGAGGACATCTCACAACCGTTGTAGTTGCTAGTTCGGCGATTTTTTTATCAATCGGTGTCCTATCGTCGTACAAAGAAGGAGCTTGTAGGATTATTCCCGCTGTTCCGACCAAAACGGCCAAGGTAAATATCCAAAGAAATAATCGATCGAGGACCATTGCGACGTATTTCCAATCTTCTTTTACCTTACAACAAAAATTCTTTATTTTGAAACATAAATAATCATTAATAATTACTTTCGTTGAATCTTCGAGAAGCTTTGTATGTTCAGCGATAAATCGCACGCAAAAACACGATTTGTGTATTTCCGGTGGACATCTTGAGTGGGAAAAAGCCGGATTCCGAAGAACGGGACTTTTTATGGCTTCCCCATCTTCGTTTTCTGCTTGGGGGATAATCATTGGACCATGAATTTGGCAACTACCCCCAAAAGGGCCACCATCGGCCAAACTAAAATTAATGAATAATAAATTAATAAACATTAAATTAAAAAAATTCAACCTTGGTGATAATTGCTCTTTCGATGGCGTTTTTCGATTAAACTTTTTCGGGCTGCACTCTTCAAAACTCGATGGTTTATACGGGTATATACAAGAAGAAAACTTCGCTCCTTTCATTATCAATTTTCCCGACATGTATTTACTAAAAATTTGAAAAATAAATCATCTTAATTAACAAATCAAAATCATACCTGGTTGTGTCGAAAACATATTGAGGTCTCCTCATAACTAATAATCTCGGTAAAATATGTATGAAGACTCGTTTTACCCAAGGAGACATTTTATGGGTTTGCGGCGACCGGAAATGAACGTTTAAAACAACAACGGTGACACAAATACTGCAAAAAAATGTTTAAATCGATTTTTTTTAAATTTTAGTAAAACCTCGATATAATGGACCTCAATTATTATTGAATTAAAAGTAGAACTAGACCTAGAATTAGAAAGTTTCGGATTTAGACGTGCATCTTCAGACTTTAGCTAATTTCCGTATTTCCGTAAAACAAATCATATCTCAAAAAGTAATTGAGACATCAAAATGATTTAAACACTATTTTATAGCAAATTTAACCCAGATTCAACACACCAAAAATGACTCCTTCATTCCTACAAATCTTGGAAATACGATTTTTTAATTCAACTCTGCGGTTATTAAGGTTAAATAAATTGATAAATAGGCAACTTAATAAAATTATATCTCAAGAACCAATTGAGATATCATCACGAAGTAAATACCATTTTAAAGCAAATTTAATTAAGATTTAATGTATAAGAAATCATTTCTTTATTACCACAAATTTCGACGTTATCATTTTTTTAATTAAAACCCATATAGACTGAACGTAGCGCTGTGGAAATGTATTAATCCGTTATATCGAGGTTTTACTGTATTTTTTTTACCTTATTGAAACTAAAATCATGGCGAAAATGAGATACTTTCCTAATAATGGAACAACGAGGGATGTTGGTGGGATAATTTCAACCACTAATAAGAAAAAAACGTGGAGACTAATTAAGATTGAAATCGAAAGTGTGACCTAAAAGAAAAAAATAATTAAATAATTAAGAAATTAATGAATCATTACCTTTTCTCCGCTATCAGAAGGAAGATAAAATGTAAGAACCGTAAGAAAAGAAATTCCCATACAAGGAATGATTATATTAACCGTATAAAATAAAGTTTTTCTTCTCATTGTGATATTAAAAGTGATATCTAAATACGGTTCATCGCAACAAGTATAAAACTTTTCGTTCCTTAAAAATTAATTGATTTAAATCTTTTTATTCGTTTATTATTATCGTTTACCTGACGGCAGGTACTTCGAGAATATCCCATTCGACACTCATATAAAATTCAGATAAATCCACGCCGACTTCAACAACATTGCTTCCAGCTTTTTCGTCCATGTGTCTTAAGTCGACCTATGAAACAACATAGAAACAGAAAAAGACGAGAAAAATTTTCAGTGTTCTTTTAGCTACTTTTGTTCGGGTACCTTTAAGAGAAAATAACAAAATAAAATAAATTGCACTACATCTTATATACACAAATTCACACAAACACATTTTATGTACAAGATACGTCGATTATTATTAAGAAAACTGAAAAGAAAACGGAGCAACCAACTATTTATAGCGATCATCCCAAAAAAACTAAATTTATTTTTGTTAAAACACCCATATCCTGCCACACAATAAGATATATTTAGAAATATAAGAAGTAAAGGAGTTATTAAGTAGAGATATATTATTGGTTTTATTTATCTAGCCCTTTTTATTTAGGTTATTTTTTATAATAAAATAAAATTAAATTAAATTAATCAAAAAATAAATATTAGGTAGTAAAATGAATCATCAAAAATTATTTAAAAAGAAATAAAAAAAATTAAAATATAAGTAGTTTAAAATTGTATGTTTTTAGTAAATCGTTTTTTAAGGTATGGTATTTTTGTTTAAATGTAAGTACATTTTAATTTTATAAAGTTGTGCTAGCAGCCTAATTAATCATGCTTCAGCTTCAAACTTTGATCAAATTGAATTCGTGCACAGCCGCATACTCTAATTTTTATTTTAAACGTTATTTTTTATTCTTCATTAAAAGCAACAATGAAAATATTACAATGAAAAATAAAGAAAATTGGTGATTAAAAAATCTGGCAATCAAATAAAATCATGCTTGTAATAACAACATTTTGGTGAATTTTTCATTCAAAAAAAAACGAGGGTCTAAATCAATTTTTTTTTAAGTATTGTAGCAAAATGTAAATCTATCACTCCCATATTTGGAAAGGTATAAAATTCGGTGCTTCAAAAATATGCGTACACCAAAAATAAATAAAATTAATTAATAATGTATTCTTTTGATAAACAAAAAAAATTAAAGTGCGTTACTATTTTTTATCTCTAATAAAAATAAAATTTAATTTTTAAAATGAATTAATAAAAAATAAGGTATGTATTAGAATGTCTTGGATTGAGTTATTTTAAACCAATAAATTCATAGAAACTCAAATTCTAATATTGCAATGACATTTTTGTAACTATTTGTTTTGAATCCAGTTGGCGTCGCGTCTTTATTTTGCTTATCTAAAAAAATAAAGGCGCGACGTCCAGTCTAGAACACACCCCAACACCATCTTTTCCCATTAGACGAAAAAAGTTATTATTGTCTCATATCGAAAAAATAGTGTAGAAGGACTTATAAAGAATTTCTATCAACATTTTAAAAAAGAAACTGAACAAAGTCTGATAAAAGAGGCCGAAGAAAGAGATATAAAAAGGCGAGTTTCAAGATTATCCGCTTTTGGAAAACTAAACAAAATAAATAACTGGTTCCCTCCATTAATGGCTAGTGGACGGTAATGAAACGATAGTGGAAGAAGAAACAGAAGATTTGCGATAACAACCCAAAGGCCCAAAAACCGGTGGCAGAAAAATTAGTGCTCAAAATCGGCGAAAAGATGAGACCTCTTGCAAAGACAAGAAAAGGCAACATTTTCCAGCTGATAGAATCAGATATCCAGCTTTAGCTAAGATTCTAACTGATTACTTTTGTAGTTGCAGAACTTTTTCAAGAGATGTAAGGAGAAATTAAGCTGAAAGAAGGAAAAAGAGACAATGATTCTTATGTCAGGTATTATAACTTAGCATTTAAAGGTTTTGTAACTATTTGTTTTGAATCCAGCTGGCGTCGCGTCTTTATTTTGCCTATCTAAAGAAATAAAGGCGCGACGTCCAGTCTAGAACACACACCAACACCATCTTTTCCCATTAGACGGAAAAATGTTATTATTGTCTCATATCGAAAAAATAGTGTAGAAGGACTTATAAAGAATTTTTATAAACTTTTTAAAAAAGAAACTGAAGAAAGTCTGATAAAAGAGGCCGAAGAAAGAGATATAAAAAGGTGAATTTCAAGATTATTCGCTTTGGAAAACTAAACAAGATAAATAACCGGTTCCCTCCATTAATGGCTAGTGGACGGTAATGAAACGATAGTGGAAGAAGAAACAGAAGATTTGCGATGACAACCCAAAGGCTCAAAAACCGGTGCTCAAAATCGGAGAAAAGATGAGACCTCTTGCAAAGACAAGAAAAGGCAACATTTTCCAGCTGATAGAATCAGATATCCAGCTTTAGCTAAGATTCTAACTGATTACTTTTGTAGTTGCAGAACTTTTTCAAGAGATGTAAGGAGAAATTAAGCTGAAAGAAGGGACAATGATTCTTATGTCAGGTATTAGAACTTAGCATTTAAAGGTCTCTGTGAATTGGAGTAAAAGAACCCTATTTGGTTGTTACCTCATTAAGACATATAATATGAAGATGTTGTATTCAAAGATTCAAACATTAGAAAGTGTGAAATACAAATTCAGAACAAAGCGGAGTTCAGAAATATCTTTTGAGAGTTAGAGCTCATCTAAGAAGAAGTCTTTAAAATAAAGTTATCTTCCTTTTTAATTTTAGTTTTACGATAAAATTGGTTAATAATTTTAGGATCAATCCAGAGACACTGCATAACTTGTGCTTAACATGCTAAAACATAGATCATTCTAAACTAAACTTTTACCATTTCTATTTTCTTTATCTAAGATCTATAAAAAAACTAAAAAAAATAAATTAAGGGTATCAACTATAGATAAAGCAAGATTTTAAAGTAATATCAGTTTAGATTGGGATTTATTAAAATTTTTTTGATTAAAACTTGTTGATTTTAAATGAACTGAAATGATTTTGATAATAGAAATGTTTTATAAATGCATTCTATTTTAAATTAAAAAAAATATATATAAAATAATCTAATGAAATCATGCAAAAAATAATATAAGTAAATAAAATAATGATTTTTGCATGCAAAAAAAATGATTATGTGTGCTGGTGTTATTTGAAGAAAAGAAATAAAGTTAACGAAAGAAAATGCATCATTTTGAGACAAAAGCAAAGTTATCGAAAAAAAGGTACACAGAAACCACAAGAAACAAGTAAATAACAACGAAGTCACAAGTTAAACAATAAAGTTACAACCAAGTACTCGATCACCGAAGAAAGTTACAATGATGGGGAGAAAATTTTATACCTTTCCCAAAAAAGTAACATAAAGAACCAAAAAATTAAAAGGAAATAAAGTAAACAAGTTTCTGTATGTACAGCGAATTCGAATAAAACAAATTAAGTAATGGGGAGGTCTTTTTTCTATTAAAAACAAAAACAATGTTTTTAAGTAAATGAAAACTTTCTTTTTGGTCGTTTTTTATGTAATGAAAAAGGGCCGAGTTTTTCCGAGGACAATAGACACATATTAATAAATAAATTGAAATAAAAATTAAGTGATGTCGATTATCCTCGCTGTAATCGTAGCCGTGATATAGAAAATATTGTTTTATCTCTTTTGTGTTTGAACCTTGAAACCGTCGTAAGTCCAGCTACCGAGTTTCAGCACGCAAGTCTGCACGTCGTACGGAAAAAACTCAACATCTATAGCACAAGAGGACTTATAGACCGCCGGAGGCTGCCAAACAACAAGCCCGTTGTAGTAGACGGTAGCTTTCGTCATTAAAGTCACCTCGTAGTTGCCGTCAGCACTGGAAAGAAGAAGAAAAAAATACACACTGACGACCGTTTATACAAAAAAAAATCGTCTTTTAAAATAATCTCTCTCGACACGAGTCGACAAAACAACCAAGAAAAAAAATAAAACACTTAAAAAAACCCTCCGAAGAAAATCTTTGAAGACGAAGATCTTTGAAATCCTAAATACAAAGAAGAAAAACACATTCATTCTTCTCCTTTCAAACCTTTTAAATTTTTTTTATTAATCTCGAAATTATAAAAGGAAAATTATTTTTTTTTGTGTAGAATTCTTCGTCACAATTCTCACCTTGAATCCATCGTAAGTCCAGCTACCGAATTTCAGGACGCAAGTTTGCTCATCGAAAGGAAAATACTCGACGTCGATCTCGCACGAAGACTTGTAAATGGCCGGAGGTTTCCACTCGACCAGTCCTTGATGGTAAATCGTTGCCTTTGTCGCTAGGGTCACCTCGAAATTGCCATCGGCGCTGAAAATTTTGCTATAGACACGCTAACCAACGTCAAAACGTTGATATGCAAACCGTGATATGATATTTATCCATGAGGCTTTATGAGATAGCAGGGCAAAAAATTTTATACAGTGTATATTTTAATTATAACACCAACAAACTTTAAAAGAAAGTTTAGTTTTTGCAAAAAGATCCAATATTGATGGATTTAAAAGGGAATATCTCAAAAACGAGGAGGGACGACGGCGGTCGAAGGATACTGTGCGGAATGGAGAAGGAACAGAAATGCTGAGATGGGTGGAGGAGAACGGATGGGAGATACTGAATGGAAATAAAGAGGAAGGGGAGCATACGTACATCGGGACGAGGGGGACATCTGTGATTGATTATGTACTGGTGGATCAGGAAATGTGGGAGAGGGTGGAAAGGTTTAAAGTGGGAGAAGCGGTAGAGTCGGATCACCAACCGTTGGAGGTGCGGAACTGGGGAGCAAGTTCATCAGGACAGACTGGTCGGAAGAAGGGATAGCATTCTACAGGGGAAACCTCGACACTTGCCAACAGAAGATACAAGAGATCAATGGTTGGGAAGAACTTATTCAGGTAGTGCGAGAGGCAACACTGAAAAGGGAGTGTGTACGTAGGGGCGGCAGAGTAGGGAGGAACGATTGGTATGATGGCGAGTGTAGGAAGGCGAAGAGGGAGGCGAGAAGGAGGTTGAGGTAGTGGAGACGGGGGAAGATAGGGGTGGATAGATATAGGGAGGCCAGGAGAGGATACAGAGAGTTATGCAGTAGAAAGAAAACAGAACTGAGGGAGAAGGAGGCGGCAGAGATTAGAAGGATAACAAGGGAAGGGGAGGTCTGGAGGTATCTGAAAAAGAGAAAGAAGGATAGGGAAAGGATAACCAGCGAAATACACGTGACAGATTGGAAGAGTTACTTTATGGGATTATTGGGAGGGGTTGAAACGAGGCTAACGGGTTTGGGAGGCTATGAGGGAGATCGAGGAGAGGAGATGGAAGCAGTGCTTAGGGGATTGAAGAAGAGAAAGGCGCCAGGGGAAGATGGGATCCAGAACGAGGCATGGTTGGAAGCATCAAGGGTGGTGAGAGTGAAGTTGTTGGAGGGGATGAATAGCGTATGGAGAGGGGGTGGGTTTCCGGAGGGATGGAAAGTGGGGGTAATTTGCCCAGTATATAAAAAGGGTAGAGAGCTACAGAGGAATTAACCAACTAGACTCGGCATACAAGGTATACACGAAGATACTGCTGGGAAGACTGGAGGAGGAGATGGAGTTGGGGGGAATTTTGCCGGATGGGCAGGCAGGCTTTCGGCAGGGAGCATCTGGCAGATAGAGAGGTGGATAAGAAGGGAGGGAAATTGTACGCCCTATTTATAGATTTCAAGGCGGCTTTTGATAAGGTGGATAGGGGAAAGTTATGGGAGGAGATGGGGAGGAGGGGGATCACGGAACACCTAATTGCGAGAGTGAAGGAAATATACATGGAGACTATGGCTAGGATAAAAGTGGGAGATAAGCTGAGCGACGTGTTCTGGACGACGAAGGGACTGAGGCAGGGATGTCCGCTGAGCCCAAGTCTGTTTGCACTGTATACGGCGGACCTGGAGGATAGATTGGGGAAGGGGCAAATGGGAGGGTTGGTGGTGGGAGGTAGAAAGGTGCATATGTTAGCATACGCGGATGACATCGTGGTCATGGCGAGAGAAGCGGCGGAGATGAAAGATATGATAAAGACATTGGAAAGATATTTTAGGGGGAAGGGGCTGGAAGTGAATGTGGGGAAGACAAGGATGATGAAGTTTTGTAAG